TCTGGTGGGACACGTAATGTGCTAATTGTATTTTAGCAGTTCACGGGAGAGATTTGATTTGTTAAAATCTCCAAGAATGATTAAAATAGAGTCTGGGTACCTTTGCTCCATTTCAGTTATTTGTTTGGCCAGCTGTTGCATCGCGGCACTCACGCACACGTCCGGGGGAATGTACACATTCACGAGAATGAAAGAGGAAAACTCCCGCGGCGAGTAGAAAGGTTTACAGTTTATGAAGAATGCCTCTAAGTTAAGACAGCATACCTTTTTCAGCATTGTTACATCTGAACACCAACTTTTGTTGATGTAGAAACACAATCCACCACCTCTCGTTTTCCCCGTTAGCTCTGCGATGCAATCCGCTCTGAACAGCTGGTAGCCCGGCAGATGAAACGCGTTATCCGGAATGGCTTCACTCAGGATATATATATATATTTTATTTATTTATTTATTTTTTTTACAGTGTACCCCTACAAAAATATACCATGTTAAGCATATAGTTTCCAGCAAAAGTGTTAACTTACTAAGAACAACTGTAAAAATATAATAAGCTTCACCAGGGCGCCGGCGCGTTTCCCTCTTCTGCGTCTGCACGCGCGTTTGAACAACACGGCTGTACCTCCGACTAGAATGTCCAACAAAACTTCAGAATAATCAAAAACCGGAAAAATATTGTCTGGGATGTGTTGCTTAATGTTAAGGAGTTCGTCTCTGGTAAAACTTATAGAAGAAGAATGACAAAACACAGAACAAACAAACAAAAACATCAGAAGAATTGCGGAGCTCAGCGTCGTGGCTGCCATTTGCGGCGCCATCTTTATATGTATTTATGAACCACTTGTGTTTTGTGGTGGTTGTCAGTGTATTATAAAGGTACAAGATTTCAGCAATTCAGTATGTTAGTATTCTAAGTTTGTCAGTTAATATATATATAAAAAACCCCACTTTTTTCTTGTAAATTTAAGCTAAATTGTAGCTACCATATTTTTTGGATAAGATTCTGCCAACCACAGCTGCAGTGTTTTTATTACAGAGGATGTATAAATCTCAATTTCAAAAAATTTACCCTTATGACTGGTTTTGTGGTCCAGGGTCACATATTGTTAAATATTGACTTGATTTTATAGTAGCATCAGTATTTGATAGAAACTATGGTAAATGTTTGTAAGGGTAGTCCTGGAATATGTTTGTTGTTTAGAAAAGCAAAATCTGGTAGGTTGTTGTTTGCTAAAGTATCAGTTTACTGAAAAAATGACTTTTTTCTTTGTGCTGCATATTGAAGAGAGATACCAGCCTGGGGAAATTTCCCCAAAGACATCAGTGCTGCTTGCTTTAATATTAAAGAAAGAAAGAAAAAACACCATCTCCAACCCTCTGGCTTTAAGACAAATGGAGAAATTGTGGTGTTAATAGCCTGCTGCCGCCCTTCAGTGTAAGAATTTAATTATCTTTGGTCCATCTTATTGAGAAGCGAGTAATTGTTTCAGTGCTACACAACCGAAGAGGCTGAAACGGCAGAATTCGAGAGCTAATGGCTCCTTAAAAAGGTTTCCACACCCTGACAGAACATCCCGAAGAGACTTAGTTTGATATTCTCTCAACAATGCTTGGAAGATGGGAATGCTGGGTGATACTGACTTTGACAGTTGAACATTCGCTCACAAGAACACAGATTTTCTCATACCTTTTTTATCAGCAACATCATCATCTTCCCCTCCTTCCACGGGCTCCGTGTTACCTGTTGATACAATCACACCACTCATAAGAACTTTCATCAGAAAACTAGAATTTTACATTTTCTGAAAAAAAAAAAAAAAGTGTTCTGGGTGATTGAAAAGAAAAAAAATACATAAAAATAAAAATAAAATAAAATAAATCCTAAATTAATTATGATTTAACAGCAGTACAAATAATTAGTAAGCACTGCTAATTAACAAATTGCACAATAAATATTAAGAAGTACAGTTAGATTCCATTAGAAAGTTTTACTTGTGTAATATACCTTAGTCAGTGTAGTGCCATATTTAATTTTTGGCAAGAATAAAAACAAGGCTGCATGGGATAGAAGTACAGTGCATTCAATGGATTATATACTGTTGTTTAACAACATACCGATTGTTGAGCTGATGAAAAATCGTTCCAAAAGGAACATTCAGTAGACAAAACCTCCATAAAACAAAGCTGTGAGCTGGCGAAAATCTAGGACTTTTATACATTGTCTGCTATTGTAAAGACTTTAAGTTTATCCCTCACAGCCTCATTTTCATCAGCATTAAATTCAATACAACCCAATAAAAAAGATATATGTTTATTAGTAGTTGTTCTCCTTTATACATGCATAAACTAAAAAAAGCACTCTATTAATCCCAGAACTGAAAGGTTACAAGGCACAGATTGCCAATACTGAACAGCTCTGATAAGGCTGAAATGAGCGAAGGAATATCCTGCTATTGTGTCGCAGGCCTTGCTGGAGTGCATATACATGCACCAGGTGATTCTGCATCAACAGGGGCTTTTGTGTGCCTCTGCAAAACCCAGCTGATAAAAAAATGGGGCCTGTAAAAGTGTAGCGTAAGGGATTTCGGTGAAAGACAGCAAGAAAAAAAGGTGAAACAGAGAGAGGGAGAGAAACGGATTGATTGAGAGCAGGAGAGAGCTGATACAGGGGGATAAGGGAAAAAAAGCCTCAATTCCATGTGAGAATGGCAACCATTTGAGCCTTTGAATTGGTTCCAGAGAAAAAGAGAGAGAATCAGAGCCCCGGCTAAGTGAAGCGCTGCTAAAGGCCAGGGCTTGGCTGCCAGTCAGACATTCACTGAATGAAACTGAGGCTAAGCTAGCCGAAACTGCTGGGGCAGGAAAAGCAGGGCGCTGGGAGCTACAGTGTGTGTGTGTGTGTGTGTGTGTGTGTGTGCAGACGTGATACTTGGTGTGTTGTGAACAAGATAGAATCAAAAATGGGGCCTGTAAAAGTGTAGCGTAAGGGATTTCGGTGAAAGACAGCAAGAAAAAAAGGTGAAACAGAGAGAGGGAGAGAAACGGATTGATTGAGAGCAGGAGAGAGCTGATACAGGGGGATAAGGGAAAAAAAGCCTCAATTCCATGTGAGAATGGCAACCATTTGAGCCTTTGAATTGGTTCCAGAGAAAAAGAGAGAGAATCAGAGCCCCGGCTAAGGGAAGCGCTGCTAAAGGCCAGGGCTTGGCTGCCAGTCAGACATTCACTGAATGAAACTGAGGCTAAGCTAGCCGAAACTGCTGGGGCAGGAAAAGCAGGGCGCTGGGAGCTACAGTGTGTGAGTGTGTGTGTGTGTGTGTGTGCAGACGTGATACTTGGTGTATTGTGAACAAGATAGAATCCTGATAGGTGTTGCCATGTCGGGTCATCCCGGTCCAGTGTTTACAATGAGGTATAACAGTGTCCACAAAAGAGGTGATTGGTCTCTCTGGTTTTGTGCAGAAGTAAACACAACCGCACAAAGCCCCAACACAAGATCTTACAGTAGTTCAGAGGGCTATTAGATGCTTGTTGGACTGCTTTAAAATACCGGTTTATAGCGCGGCCGTAAAAAAGTCAAAGCTAGGTGCTGAAAAAATCTGATCTGGTTTTGATGGGCGTCTTGGCTTACAGCTCCAGTCCTGTGAACAGCTTCTCACATTTGTAGTAAAAATCACAGCATGCTACTTTTTTCACTTCATGTCGTTGAGGTATGAAAATGTTCTCCTCCTTTAAGATGCTTCATTTAGCACTCCTTCTCTTTCACCCTCTGTGTTTTCAATCATCTAACTTTTGTGGAAACGATCAATGCTGGCCTTGTTACCCTGCCAGAAAATCTCCATCTCATAATTCCATGGAGTTTAAGTGACTGCTGGAGACATGTTTGACCTGGGTTCAGTTTTCCAGCTTAACTGAAAAAAACCCCCACTACTATACAGTGTTATTTTAGTATTATTTATGTACTATTATAATATTTATTATTATTATTTTAAATTAGCTTATATTTTTATTTTAGTTCTAGCAATTTTGTTATGTTTTTGTAATTTTAATTCATATTTAATAAATATTTCTATCTGATTTTTTTTAAAATTTCACTTTTAGTTATAGTAATTTTAGTACTTCCGTTTAAACTTGTTTGATTTCATCTGGTTGACAAGGCAACATTTCTAAGTTTTTCATCTAATATATTTTATTTCAGTTTAATTTCAGTTAGCATAAACATTTTTTGATAGCTTTAGTTAACAATAAAAACACTGTTACTGCAGTCTGACTGAAACCATTGCATAGCGTTCTCAGAGACTGGTATCATCCAACCTGTACAGTTTTGTAGTCCAGCCTAAACTGAGAGATAAACCCAGATTAGATTACCATTGTATGATGCTCAGTTGTCTTTTTGACAGTCGCTTAAGCAGGTTTGGGACCATTGTGGCTATGTAAGCCGGATTTAAGGGTCTAGCGCTGGGAATTAGCTTAGCACTGAATCGTTTGTAATGCTGTACCTGCCGCTGTCTATTTAGCTCCTGTAGCAAACGCGCATTAGTCACAATGAAACACCTTTATTTTCTATCTCTTTTTGTCACAGTTAATGTACAGTTAAAGAGGCTTCCAGATGAAGGCCTTGTAATCTCTTCTGCTTTTCTGAAAGTCAACAAAGAAGGTAAGGTGATTTGCATCTGAATGGACCGCCGTTAAAAGACGACGTGCCATGCAAATTGCATTCCCATTTGATAACGTTTGATTGTGTCATTGCCGACAAGATGGCAAGCGAGTCCGATTAGCTTTCAATCAATCTGATTATGGTCCAAAACAATTCAGGCCTGTAAGAGCACAACACCTGGCAACCTTCATCTCAATTAACTTGCCAAAAGACCAAAGTTACACATAGTAACACCAGCAAAACTTTTTCAGGCATTCGGAGAGAAAATGCAGACTCTTGTTTTCTTGTTTATAGGCAATTGTAGAGCTGCCACCCACAACAAAAGGCTTGATTAATCATGGGGAGAGCGATTCAGATGCCGTGGATTAAACTTCGTCGGGTTGCAGGATATTGGATGTGATAATTTCTCATCTTGTTTGCAATTGTGAACACCGCATTAGGAAACACTGTCACTCACCTTCTTCAACACCGGCATCTTTTTCATTCTTATGGTCGTCATTATCTGCAAAAGACAGGAAGAGAAACCAGAGAGGTCAAAAGCTACAACGGCAAGCCTGACACGATCAAAAAAGCAGCCCGGTGAGCATGGATTTCTGTGGGCTTAGTCCTATTAGTAGTGTAACGAGAATTTAGCAAATCAGGAATACAACACATTTATTTACGGAGATGCCTCCTTTGCGAGACCTCAGAACAGGGCTGAACAGGAAACAGAGGCAGAACAAGCATTGATTTTTACATTAAATCCAAGGTTTCTCTAAGGATTGAAAATATGTGGTTTGTTGAGTCCCCCAGGCAGTTAGTTCTAATGAAAGCTGAGCAGAGACAAGCCGAGAGCTCGCAGTCTGTTTGATCTGGATTGATGTATTATTTGAGTTCAGGCTGCTATCAAACGCTCATCTGTGGGAAGACAATCATGCTATTTGATATGATCCAAGCAGCAATTAAAGTCAGCATTTGGAGGAGTGCCGAAATTGTTTCAGCTGAGGTTGAAGGCGACATGTCTATATCAGTTGCTCCTAACTGGTTTTGCTTCAGAACCCAATTTTTCATTGGACATAATCACAATAGCAAAAAGTTTTAAACTTCAAAGCTAAGAAACTCCTTAAAATGTAACAGTGTAATGTTACAATGAAATGCATAGACCCAATAATATACAACAATATTAACATGACATTAACAGTAAAACTGACAATTTTGTAAATGTAACAAGTGTTATTCTCCAAATTCTGGGCCAAAAAGATAAATATGAGGCATTTCAGTAAACTAAAATCATATCCTGTGCAAATCAAATGGTTTTATGTTGCTTTTATTTTTTTTTTTTTTTTTTTACTTTGAGTTGTTATAGTCTTCAAGGATCTGACTAGCTTCAACCAAGTCACAAACGATTTTGCAACAAGATATACAGATTTTCAACCTTTGATGACAACTAAAAATGACAAACGTTTCTCCCTCCTTTTTAAAACTTGATTTATTTTGCTATCATAACTATTGATGATTATATAGTGCATTTAGCATTGTTTCTTTCCTACAAGTGTGAACAAAACAGACCTGAGACACGTTTTTTTATCCTGACTATGGGTCATGATGGTGAACTATTTGTCCAACAGTTTGAGTTTTTAAAGATTTTTTTCTTATGTATATATTTTACATATTTTAGATTTAAGATGAACAAAATTTTGTCTAAAAATTTTAAATATCATCTGTTGTATCTAGCTCTTGTCAAAGACATAGTTTTATACATCTCTAATCTGAAAAGACTTGTTTCTGGGTCCCGACCCAACTGTTGAAAACCACTGATCTATAGGATCTTGACCTGACTGTATGTAAAAATACCTGTATTTCAGCCATCTGCCAGCTAAATATGCAGGGATCAGCATTCCTCCAGTGCTCAGCTCTCTTATATTCTCTCCTCTGTTCTTGTTCGCTCTCATTCCCTCCTGTACAGGTCCACTGCTCTCTTTAACTCTGTTGTTTCTTCTTTTTGTCTATTCCTTTTTTTTACACTCTCAGCTCAGAGTTCTTTCCAAAGAAGTCAATATGTCCCCTGAATTTGACTCTCTCTTTTTCTGCTTGAGTACCGTTTCTCTTCTTGTATGATGCCAAACCTAGTGGACCTGAAGCCTGGTGTCTGCAGCCAAGGCTGTTCCCTGACTGGTTAAAGCTCGTTAGCCATCCTTGACGACTGTTAGCTATTACCACAGACCAAACAGGTTCCAATTCATACACAGCTAGCTCATAATTAGATCTATTCTCCCAGACTTCTTCTAGAAAACAAAATGTTTAAAAGAAATTCTAGCTAAAAGTGAACAGGGTTTTTCTTTTTCTTTTTTTTCATAAAGCCAATATAAAATCAAAATGATTTGCTTTGTTCACAATAAAACCAGGAAGAAGCAATAAAAATTTCATCAGTGCATCTTATTCTCGTTTCACTCAGAAATACATCACATATGTTGAATGGGTTGTGAATAGCAAATCACTGTTACACTGTGACAAAAACAGCTTTTTTATTTAATTTTCTAAGCCTCTTGCAGACCTCATCAGCATGTCATCCTCAGACAGGCACATGGTCACACACAGAAAAACACGTTCACACACTCACACATCCAGCCTCTAGCAAAAGCTCCTGCTTTGATAAAACACTCCTGTCATCTGTTCATGAGAGAAAGACTGTCAAAGCTCCCTCAGGACGGTGGGGCCATGTTTCTCCTTTGTTTAACACAGAATAAAAGCAAAGCAGGCATTTATCTGGGGAAAAGAGGGGAAAAACAGTGACATCATAACACGCTGTCACACTGGACAGGGAGCAAACCCTTTGGACAACCTTCAGCAAAGAGCAAGTGCCCTCTGTGCATGTGCCAGCTGATTATGCAATATCCCAATGAAAGTGCTGTAAATGTAATGCACTGCTATGCTGTTGTATGATTTTTTTTTGCACTTTATGCTAAATGCACAAAGCAAGACTTGTGCTTGTTGCATCATTCCGTCACTGTAATGCTGATTATTAATTAAAAAATGTAAGGTAAGTAGGTATGTATGTATGGAGATGAATGGATGGATGAATGGACAGACAGACAGACAGACAGATGGATGCATGGATGGATGAATGGACAGATGAATGGACGTACAGACAGAGACAGACAGGTAAACAGATGGATGGACACATGGACAGAAAGATAGTTGGACGGACAGAGAGACAAATAAATAGATGGACAGACGGATGGACGGATGAACAGAGAGATTGATGGATAGACAGACAGAGACAGACAGACAGACAGATGGATGGACGGACAGAGAGACAGACAAATAAATAGATAAACGGACGGACAGACAGACAGAGACAAACAAATAAATAGATGGATGGACAGAGACTAACAGACAGATAGACACAAAGATGGATGGATGGATGGATGGATGGATGGATGAATGGATGGACAGACAGAGACAGACAGATAAATAGATGGACGGAAAGACAGAGACAGACAAATAAATAAATGTGCGGATGGACGGACGGACGGGCAGACAGATGGATGAATGAATGAATGAATGGACAGACAGACAGATAAATGAACGTGTGGATGTATGGACATAGATAGATAGATGGATAGATAGATGGATAGATAGATGGATGGATGGATGGACGGACGGACGGACGGACGGACGGACGGACGGACGGACGGACAGACAGACAGACAGACAGACAGACAGACGGATAGACGGATAGATGGATAGATGGATAGATAGATACCTGTAGATCATTTTTAAATCAAATATGTTGCAGTAATTATGTGAGCTAAAACAATAGATGTCTAAATGATTTTAAAAAGAAACAAGACACATGTAAGCCAACTAACTAGAGACTGTTTTAATTCCACTGACCAGCTGGACGGCACACGCACAGACACCAACGTACATCCACTGTCTCTGCTCCTCAAGGACAAGGTTGTTTAGAGCAAGTAAGTGGAATGAATTGTCCATCATAATTAGCACGGACATATTTTGGCTTTGTATATGAAGTTTGACATTATTTCTATTAATATTTATTATACAGTATAAACTTTATATTTAAAGAGTTACGGACGGACAGACAGACAGACAGACAGACAGACAGACGGATAGACGGATAGATGGATAGATGGATAGATAGATACCTGTAGATCATTTTTAAATCAAATATGTTGCAGTAATTATGTGAGCTAAAACAATAGATGTCTAAATGATTTTAAAAAGAAACAAGACACATGTAAGCCAACTAACTAGAGACTGTTTTAATTCCACTGACCAGCTGGACGGCACACGCACAGACACCAACGTACATCCACTGTCTCTGCTCCTCAAGGACAGCCAGACATGGGCCCCTGGGGGCCAGAGAGTGTGCTGGAACATGCTGCCTTTCAATCTGCTTGTGTCTGAAAGCATTTTAATCAGTTGCAGGGCCTCCCAAACCAATCAATTACTTTAATCAATCAATTAGAGCACTGGGGTGCGATGAAAACCGGCTTACCACCCACCATTTTGTTCAATTGGATTAAAATTCCAGGCTGAGGAAAAACCAAAAGAATAATAATAATAATAATTGAGAGGATGTTACATAGCCAGAACAGAATGAAGATACACAGTACAAGAAACATGTCAAAGCTTTTCTTATGATCAAATTTCCATAGAAATTGCAAATATTCAACTGCTGCACTGAAATATTTTATTGTACAGTATAGCGTTAGAAAAGCTGTTTACGTTCATGATTCTGTCTCTTGAAAGTAACACACAGCTAAATCGCTGCTAGCTCCTCACCACTATCGTAATGGCTGTATTCCTAGCTGTGTAAAGCCCCACACACGGTGGCACTTCAAAAAAATTCCCATGGTGTGTTTGATGATATTAATGCACCGTAACACACTCAGCGTTTGTTCCCTGGAGACTGAGAATGTTGTGTGTGCAGCCTTCATTTTCAACTCTTTCGGGGGTCCAGGAGGTCCCGTCGACTTACAGCGGACGACCATCGTCTCACCACAAACACCCGGCTTTACAAATGATAGGCTTTCTGACACAGTAACACTGGGAGAGGAAAGCCTCTATTAAAGATAGCAGGGGGAGCTGTCGTTTGAGAACACGGCATAGAAACACCATGTAAATATGGATGTGGCTAGTGGACCAAGAGTGAGTGAGAGCGTGAGAATGAGATTAAGAGACAAAGACAGAGAAACAGAGCTTCATTTCCTGACTGAAAGTATAAAATGAAATGAGATCTGACAAAACACTTTGTTAAAATTATATTTTTATCAATCAATCTATCTATCTATCTATCTATCTATCTATCTATCTCTCTCTCTGTCCGTCCGTCCGTCCATCCATCCATCTATCTGTCCGTCTAGCTATCCATCCATCCATCCGTCCGTTCATCTAGCTATCCATCCATTCGCACACATATTAATGAAATCTTTCTGCTTTTATACCTCACGAGTCATTCTTATCATCTGTCTTTCACACATTTTCACAGTTCTTTTT